GACTGTATAAAAAAAAAGATCGTCGCCAATCATATTTAGCCTAATTTTAGCCAATCAAAACAAACTTCCACTATGCTCGGAACTATACGGTATGTATAAATTTTACAAATAATATTTTCATGTGACTTGCTGATCAGAATTAATCAGAATTAAACGAAGCCGATAATCTCTGTTTCTTTCAAATTAATGGCACCAGTACTGATTTCAGCCTTAGAAGCAGATTATATACTCAAAGGTATCGATGATAACCTTCGTGCTGACGGGAGAGGACGTCTTGATTATCGAGAAGTAATTTTAGAGACTGGCCTTATCACCCAAGCGCATGGTAGTGCTAGGTGTAGGCTAGGAGAAGGAACCGACGTACTTGTTGGCGTGAAGGTTGACATCGGAACTGTGGATATTGATGGAACTGAGGAAGAAGTAGCAACAGTAAAAGCAAAGAGGGGAAGAGTAGTATGTAATGTAGAGTGGTAGGTTGCTTCTATACTAATCTGCTGTAATAGTTAATTTCTCTGTGTACCTAAGTCACTTTAAGTCTCGTAGCTCTCCGATCGCATCACAACAATTTGCAGGAAGAGGTGCCGATGATATAAATAATGAACTTACACAGATGATGTCTCGTGTTCTAAATGGTCCTCAAGGTGGCTTAAACCTTGAAAAACTATGCATTATTCCAGGAAAAGCTTGTTGGATCGTCTACATTGACGCTTTGGTAAATGCATTCATTTTTTACAATTTAAGTTCCGAATAACGCGTATTATTTTTATTTATCAAATTTATTAGGTATTAGATTATGCTGGTAATATAGTGGATACAATGTTTATGACCACACGAGCAGCACTATATAACACACAAGTTCCTAAAGCAATCATACATGATCTTGGTGATGGTGAAGTAGAGTTCGATTTATCGGAGGACGTAGAAGAGTGGGAAAGGATCGAAGGTTGGGAACATGTACCAATTTCAGTTACCCTAAATAAGGTAAGTTTGTGAAAAATTTCTCCCTACCATTGACAATGATAATCAATTACTCTTTATCTTATACGAAGATTGGTTCTCGCCATATTGTTGATGCAACTCCATTAGAAGAACTCACCACCGAAGCGAAATTGCATGTAATGGTTAACAGGAATGGTAAAATTTGTGGCATGCAAAAAAGCGGGAGCGGTAGCATTGAACATAGTCTATTGAGTGAGATGGTTCAGGTACATATTTTTGTTATTTAAATTGAATGTTGTCTTTAGCAGTGTTGTTGATTGAAAGCTTCCAATCAATTTTATCGGAATTGGAATTCCAACAAAAAAAAATTGGATAATTGGAATTTTTTATTGGAAGGATCCATTACTATAACCAATCAAATGATTGGGAGGTATTGGAATTGGAATTTATTGAAAGTCCGATCAATTTCTTCTAATCTTTAAATCAGCAACACTGTTTTAGCCTTCTTAATATAACAGGTTTAATTTCTGGGAAGGGGAACAATTAGGGTATCAATTATAACAAATTTGATAAGACATTGCCCCTATCCTTAAAAAAAAAAAACTAGACTGGACGATCGTTAGGACAGAACCTGATAGTCAGTTTGGACAAGATGCTTCTACAGGAAGAATATGATATAAACGAAAAACGAATACGAAATAAACCTGTGGAAAAGCTTGGGTTCTTTGCAGCTACCTAGAGTTGCCTTTTTAAAAAAATTACGTTACCACTACTTAGTTTTGGTTTGGGAACCGGCATTTCTATATAATTTGGGTTCATGATCAAAACACAAAACTCAAAACCACCGATTCATTAAATAAATATTCGTGCATTTAATATTGTAATATTAAAACTTTTAAGTTATTTAAAAGTTTAAATTTAAATTGGATTGAATAGATTGAATGTTAGATAATACCAGAAACAGAGAACAATGAAGAGTATGTTTTAATGGTATATCTAATTTGCATTTGATTAGATGATCCATCTTTATGATATTATCTTGGGATATCAATATTTAAGTTTAAATAGCGCAATAAAAAAAATGCAATTGGACGTTGTGTGATTAAAAATATAATTCTATAACGGGTAGTAAATAGTGTTTTCAAAAAAAAATTTGAAATTTGAAACTGAATCTTGATTCGTTCAAAAAAAATAATTTCGGCTACAGTCCTGAAAATAACGATTTTAGTTTAAGTCTAAGAGACGCGCAAGATATTCTAGTCACATTTAACACTGTATTAATTCATATTTTTATTATGCAATAAGATTTTCGTTGTCGTTCTGGCAACATATTCTATTAAATAAAGAGATCCTATGGATTCATCTTTATTTATTTTAGCGTAAAGTCATTGTAATTAAAACATGCATCTGATATTATTATAATTAATTTGGTACGTATATAGATCAATATAATTTTTGCTATTTTGGTTTCCATTAAGAAATTTATGAATGGTATAACTTGAGTTTTAATAACTACTGCTGTACTGTATACGTATAACAAGTTCGTATTCACGCCAGATATTTCAGTATTACAAGTTTTTTTTTTGATATAGGCTAAAATATTTAAGCAATTATTTTCTGGCTTGAAACTCTTTTCGTTCGAATTATATTGCATTTTGATAAAAAATATAAAGCGACATTCAGAAAGGGGAACTGCTAAGTTTCTAATATTTTATGACTTGATAATAATAACTGACCTCCTTCACGAACATATCTTGTATATCTTTTTTACCATACTGTATTGGTGAGATACGAACGAAAGAAGAAATTGTTAAAAATTTTCTATAAAAGAAATGTTCATAACAGAGAAACATTTATACCGAAAAAAAAAGAATGTTCATAATAAAAACAATGTTTGTAACGAAATAAGAGTTTATAACGAAAATAATATCGTAACAAAATGTTTATAACGAGGAATAACTCATGTAGCAAACAAAATATATTACTATCAAGGACCTCAAGTTTTACGTGTATTTACAAAGGGTCTAGGGGGCCTTTGCCTTTGTGGTGACTTTTCAAAGTCAAATGTTAACTTTGTTTCATCTGGCGGAGGAGAATTTGATAAATTAAATTGTCCGTTAATCATCATATCGTAGTTATTAAAATTTTTATCAATAAGAATCTAAAATAAAAAATTTAGCATATTAATAATTATAAAAAAAGGCAAATTTTTATTATATACTTACGCGCAATTTAATAAATGTAATTATAGTCTTGCACAACACATCAGGATTATATTCTTGGAGACGTGAAGGCAAAACAAAATTAGCAATTTCTTGAAAAATATACAATTCTTTTGCTACAATGTTTAACATATAAACTTTCATATCAAGTGCTAAAAAATATTGCATATATAAATACATTTATATTTTTTTAAAAAAAAAATTTAATAGATTTATTTGCCTGAAGTAACTGCTCCAAAAACTTTAAATTGTTTAAAATCCTCTATATTACGTAACGTCAAAATGTTATGAGCTCTTCTAATCATGTCATGTAGGAGAGAGAGTACATGACTTTAGCGTATCCCCTAATTCCTTTTTTTTGTCATTTACTGACAACAATTTCCCATGTTCTATAATCATGAACTCAATCCCATGTTTTAAATTTGTAATAGTTATATTTTACAAATTAAATGATATTAAATATATACAGACTTAATTTAGTACTTACTTTTGTGCTTCAACAGAGTAATTTTTGTCAAAAAATAGATCAAAAAATATCTCAAAATGCAATGCGCTGCTAATGTGACTTTCACTATGATTCAGATCCCAATATCTTGATTCCAAACTAAAGAACCGCCAACTATAAAACAATATTTTAGCAATAATGCTAATTAATTTAAAACAAGCATGCATATACATACATTTTTTTAGTGATGTTTGTTATAAAATTAAACATTGATGTCTCAAATTTTGCGAAAACAAGTCATCACATTGTTGCCATTTTTTTATGAATTCGTTAGCTTTATTGATGTCAGATATTTTTCTGAGTTCATTTAATCGACTCATTATTTGTTCGCTGATATCCGATAAGGGTATTAGGTCATTTAAGTTGTGCCGATATTTTTTTGCAATTTGATTGTACGGAAATTTCTTAAACAACGGTTTATCAATTTCAAGAACTCCTATTTTAATTGGATCACTAATATATAATATAATATTTAATATACTATAATAGTATTTCTATATAATATACTTACGAAGAACTTGCGCTTTCATATATTGGAATCATTGTTTCCTGGACTGTTCGGGAGTTTCTTAAAACTACATCATTCTTAATATTTAAAGTTAAAATATAAAGTTAAATATGAAATTTAAAGTCATAACAGTAATAATTAGGGTCCGTAATGGGCGCTCATTAATTTTGTAAGCCCGGCCTGAACTTCTCAAAATTATTACAGGCTTGAAAATTTGAGCCTGGACCTGGCCCGATTTTAAATTTACTAAAGTTTACAATAGGTTAAAACGGGCCTAAGCCCGGCCCATCAATTATAAGCTATATAACCCAGTATTGGTCCAAATTGATTACGGGTCTAAAAATCTGGGCCCAAGCCTGGTAATTTGTGGGTCAGGTCCAAGTTCAGGCCGCGTTTGGCCCAGCCCATTACAGACCCTAGTAATAATATACAGTATAATACATACACCTCCAAATAAAGGATAAATATCTTTATTATCATTATCGGTTGTAGAATCCAAAATATCTCTTGTTAATGTTAATATATGTGATTTTTCAAAACGTTATATATATATTTTTTTGAAAAAAAATTTACCCGATGAGGAAGATTCTGAATTTTCATTTGTCACTTTAGAATTTTTGGAGGCATCAACAAGGTTTTTTAAAAGTCTAATTTTCGTTTTATTAAATAATCTTGAATTCGATTTTGATGTAGTTTAAACATCTAGTCCAGGCACTTAGCAAATCTCTAACATAAATTTTTTTTCTGTGAGGTACTCTTCATACAATTCATGACTCCAATCTTCTACTTTATGATCGTAAAAGAATTCGATTGTCTAAAAATAAATTATATAAAATACCGATATTTTATAATTAGAACTTTGAATAAAATATGATATAAATAAAAATAATAAAAATAAAACTCAAAATGTAAATAAATAATTGAATTATGATAATATAATTAATAAGTTATATAAATTAAGCTAGCTAAACTTCAACATGATAGTTATGGTTAATAGGCTTATTACACATATCCCATCCAGTGCGTAAGGATCACAAAAAGCACAATGTGCAAGATTAATAAATTAATGATGCACAAAGTTAATAGAATACAAACTAAACGGCCCCTATATGTTACGAACATGGTTAATAGATTATAAAAAATCTAATAAGCACTCAATGCGCATATGAGTTTAATTGAATTGTAAAAATTCAAAGCTTCCAACGTAAAATCTATAGTTAATGGACTGTACGCAGTAAATAGTACATTACGAAAGAGTCCAAAGAGCCTTTAACGCACAAGGTTAATAGATTATAAAATCTCAATATGCAAAATTCATAGATTGTACCTATATGCTCCCAACATCCTGAATTAATTAATAGGTCTGCGTAGAGTGATTTGTTATCTTTAAAAATAACAGATAT